AAAAATGGTAGCATCTTTTTTCGCGGCCAAATCCACAGAGTTTGCTATACACTTTTGGTCAAAGATAAATTGTGTGTTTATTAACGACATTTCATCGATAAAATTACTGAGTTATGACAACGTACTTTTCCTACCCACCACCGGAGCTGCAGAAGGAGTTGGCGGACATTGCGAATGCTGTTTGTGCCCCAGGGAAAGGTATTCTAGCAGCTGATGAGTCGACATCCACGGTAGGCAAGCGACTTAGTGGTGTTGGTGTTGAGAATACCGAGGAAAACCGTCGTGATTACAGGGAACTGCTGTTTACTGCCACCTGATGACATCAGCAAGTATATTTCTGGTGTATTACTTTTCCACGAAACCGTCTACCAAAAAGGATCAAAGGAACACCGATGATGGATCTTTGAAAAAGAAGAAATTGATCCCTGGGATTAAAGTTGATAAGGGGGTTGTACCACTCATGGGATCCGAAGGCGAATGCACAACACAGGGTTTAGATGATTTGTCTCAGCGTTGTGCACAGTACAAGAAGGATGGATGCCAGTTTGCCAAGTGGCGTTGCGTACTTAAGATAGGTCGCAACACGCCAAGTTATCAAGCAATGATTGAGAACGCGAATGTGCTCGCGAGGTATGCATCAATTTGTCAAATGAATGGGCTTGTTCCTATTGTGGAGCCGGAAGTTCTTCCAGATGGCGACCACGATTTAGAACGATCGCAGAAGGTCACAGAAACTGTCCTTGCTTTCGTCTACAAAGCTCTGAGTGACCACCATGTCTATCTGGAGGGCACGCTGCTCAAGCCAAACATGGTTACAGCTGGTCAGTCATGCAGCAAGAAGCCGAGGGCAGAAGAGCAAGCTGAGGCCACCGTCACAGCTCTGATGCGTTGCGTTCCTCCAGCGGTCCCTGGCGTCACCTTCCTTTCCGGTGGCATGACGGAAGAGGATGCATCTGTAATGTTGTGTGAAGTAAACAAGTTTCCTGGCAAGAAACCATGGAACCTTACCTTCAGCTTCGGCCGAGCCCTGCAGGCTTCGGTGCTAAAAGCATGGTCGGGGAAAAAAGAGAATACAGAGGCGGCTCAAACCGAACTGATGAACAGAGCCAAAGCCAACAGCGAAGCATCACTCGGAAAGTACGAGGCAGGCACTTGCAAAGGAGCGGCAGCTCAGGCTGACCAATTCGTCAAAAACCATGCGTATTAACGCGCTGATTGTGATGTGAAATGTAAAGTGCATTCTGGAGATCGATGGCAACAAGAGAATATACAAGCTCAGCAACGATTACCCGCACTTGCACATTCACATGCTGCTGATGTCTGTGACGTTCACACGGCTCACTGTGACTTAAGATAATCTTTAAAGCCGTCTTAGTTGTCGTCTGATTGGGCTGTTTCACCGCCTCCCGCAAAGGATCGCGGGAAACCCGCCTCCCTTTGGTTGGGAGGCGGGTTTCCCGGGAAGGCGAGCGGTGATCTCGATTCTTTCGTTTCACCATAGATAGCCCCCTGCCGAAAGTAAAAATCCGGGCGTGATGCGTAATCATGGAGCTCCAGGCCCGGCCCTGAAGAAATCCTGGCTGCGCCCTTGGGTTTGACCTTTTCAGTGATTCAGCACACGATGTGCTGAAGTCAATATACAGAAACGATCCACTGCTCGTGTAGATCGTACACAATTTTTACTGCAGTAATTTTAAGTCCTTCCCCACGAATGACGTTTCAAGCCGGCCATCCTAGGTCAGCTCACGTTTCGCCGTTTATGTTTTGCTTCCTTTTGAAGCACGGCAATGGCCTCCGATGGCAATGCACTTACTTTTCACATTTTTGGGTGTTGCTAATCTCACGTGCGACGTTCGATGATGTTGATGAGCGGCCCAAAACTATAATAACGTGGCTTTAAGCGACCTGAAAAAACTTTAAGCGATTTGAACCAGACTTCCGGTGACCCCCCTACATCCATATTGACGTACTTCAGTCATTTGGATGCAGCGTATAACAGTCTTGAGGATTAATGCAATTTTAATTTGACGCCATTTGTACTAATGACCAAACCCAATGATAGGATACAAAGGGGCTGTGGTTTTGAATTGCGCTTTCATACATCCCTTACATTGATGACGGTCATTTTGCACCGACACCAAAACCAGTGGACGAAATGATATGATGCATGCGAAATAGACATGTATTCACAATGTTACTAGATGTCGTTGGAATGCAGTGACAATTATTCTAATTCCCAACAGTGATAAGCACGCTCTTGAGGGGGCCTTGGATCTCCCTTCTACCCTCCTATTAGAGCGAGCTTACAGAAAAAGCCAAATAATCTCAGGCCTGTTTATTTCAGTCTAAGCACATAGGATAAGCGTAGACATGGATTCAGTAAAAACAAATGTGGCGTCATCCGCGCGGGATTTCACGTAGACAGTACTACAGCTGTAAGGCCACTGAACCCAATCGCCTACGCGTCTATTAACATGAACGCGAGTCAAATAACACATTCACTCTCACGTCGCAGACACCTCCTCCAAACACATCTTTAAAAGACCGAGATCCAGAGTCATCAAGAGAAGTACAAAACCACTACCTAGCAAACAGTTTTCGTAAATTCGGGGCACAATTATCCCACGTCATTGGCTCACAAAGGTGATGTACAACAGCTCCCCAGCATTTAATTTGGCTGTTCTTGTGCTGACTTATGCACGTTAACCTTCGTACGTGTAAATTAGAAGCCTGGAAACAACGCGAAGGTGAAATAGCGCGATCAGAAACGTGCTGAAGTTTCACATGAGAGGTCAGGGCTTGATTTCCGGCCGCTGCCATGGCCTTTGGGTGCGAATATGCCACTGAAGGAACCGCTTTCAAAGGGACAACAGCTCCATGCACCCAGTGTCGGTTTAACAATCAACCTTTTGGTACCACATCTTTTAGGTGGTAACAATCTTTTTTGTTTGATACGTGTCGCTTTCGTAACGAAAATGAGTACGGTGTCCCAGAATCAACGCCAGTTCAGTTCCCGAAAGCCCCCAAGAATTATGCAGAAGTATTTCACTCGACTACCTGGATCAAGCTGGTTGGAACTCTGCGCCATATGGTCTGTCTTCAGACGCTGCCGCCGTGCTCTACGCCTATTCACACTTGTCTTGACGCATTATCACTTCCATCAAAATCGGAGGATACAAGCACAGAGCGCCCCACTGGGCAAATCATCACTGTTCTTGTCTGACGCGCCCCTCCCAGAGCGCGGGAGCGCACAAAAAGCTGGGATGAGTCAAGGTTTTTAAACCTGATTTTTCCACGCTGTTCCAAGGGGAACGACGCCATTTTTTGTCCAGGATTTAAGGGGAAAACGTTAGGTTTTCGACAAGTTTGGGGCCACTGCTCTCTCTCCTCAGCTTCTCCACCTTGCAGCCTTCACTTTGCGTTGAAGTGAAGTAAGCTCAAGAGTATGCCAAGCAGGCTCAGGGCACCACCCCTCGGACATGACCGAGGTCGAGCGGCGCCAGTTCGCTGACGCTTGCTGCCGCCGCTGGTCAACTCCGGCCGAGTGGCGCCATCTCACTGATGCCTGCTGCCGCCGCTGGTCAGCGCCGGCCGGCGGCGACTCAGATGGACAGGCTGCTGAGGGCGTACAGCCAGCTGAGGCGCTGCTCGCCGCCCCCTCTGGGGGCTGGCCGGGCTGTGACCCTCAGCCGCTCCGCCGGCACGTCGAACGGCTCCACGCCCGCCAGGCGGCGCTGTAGGTCGGCCTGCACCTGCTCGAACCGGTACTGAGGGCGGAACGGGATGGGACTGGCGCTGGAACTGAGACTGGTGCTGAGGCTGGGTTTGGGGCTGGGGCTAGAACTAGGGCTTGGGTTGGAGCTGGGGCTGGGACTGGGGCTTGGGCTGAGTTTTGAAATGCGGCTGGGTGGGGATGTTTTAGGCCGAAAAGGTGTTGTGCTCGTTGGTCGAGATGGCTTTGGAGAATTAAAGGGGGAAAGACTGTGGGTGGTGGGCCGAGGAATTCTTTGAACTGTCGTTGGGAAGGTACCGGTAGTGGTTACTGAGGAAGCTTTCTTGCTGCCTGGCCGAAAGGGTCTCAGTGCGAGTGATCTGCTGGGTTCGATGATGGGTGACAGTATGCTATTAGGTGACAGCAGGGGTTCTGGAATGGTGGGCTGGAAGGGTCTGAGAGTCACAGGCCTTGGAGGTTTCGTGGTAATGCGCTGAAACGGTTTTCTGTGTCGACGTCCCACTTGGAGTCGACTCTCGAGAAGAGCTCTTTGAAACAGCTACATCGGTGGAAAAGAAAATACCATTCTGGCTGGTTTTGAATGGACGTGCAGTTGGTCTACGCTCTGATGTCGTATCAGACTTGTTTCTCTTTCGTGAAACGCTGTTCGCAAAACTGTTTTTGGAGACCTTTGGCGCAGCTGGCAGCGTTGAGAACGGACTGTTCGCCAGTTCAGGCCCGGCGGAGCGGCTGGCTGCAGCTGGGATAGTAGTTGGGACGCTGTTTTCGAGCACTTTGCCCCTCCGCGATGATGTATTTTCAGCGGTAGCCGAAGGACCTCTTGACCACTCCGAGTTAGAGACAGCCCGAGAATTGTCCGTTGCAACCTGAAAGCCCTCCCTTGCCGTGATGGACAAGCCCAACTGCGAACCCCGTCCGGTAGATGACACCACCAGGCCGCCACCGGCCCCAAGATCGTCACCGAGGCGCTTGCTGAACGTTGACTGGATCAACCCATCGCCACCAAACTGCCCTCCGAAAATGTCGTTTCTTCCGCGCCGCTCGGGTTCCCTCCTGCTCTCGCTGGTGCGAGACTGGCTGGCGAGCGCCGGCGCCGTCTCCTAAACGCCAGCTGGCCGGGGCCGACTGCTGCAGCCGCCGACGCAGACTCACTGGGGGCTGCCGCCGCCCCTGGGCTCCCAGCCCCGCCGACCTGCGCGGACCTGGAGCCGGCCGGGTCCGCCGGGCGCTGGCACCAGACCAATCAGACTGTTGAGCGCGTAGAAATTGCGGCGAGGTGCCGCACTCGACGTTGTACCACCAGTCGCACACGAACACCTGGCGGGAGGAACGTCCGTGTAAGAGACGTCCCGACCTTGTACGGAGGGTACAACGCAGGGTGTGTAACCGGGGCGTTGCCAGTGGGGAGGGGCAGGCGGCTGTGGCTCCTGATGGAGCCCTGTGTCATAGCCTGGCTGCAGAGTCAATCTTACCGCTTCAACGGGTTTGCCTCCGAAATGTGCAGAATTGGCCGGCCTCTTCTCCCGCCCAGGTACTCTAGTTTGCTCCAAGCGTTTAATGCTGGTGCAACCCACTTGCATCGAACGGTAAGGTGTACGGTTCTGCATCGACATGCGAAATTTGATAACCGAATGCATAGAGAGCGATTACCTTATCAGGCCGCGTTATGAAAGCCTTCGCAATATGTTGCATGCAATATGCTATTCAAAGAGTAGGCTTATGGGTTGGAGATGTAGCCGCTTGTTTCCTATAAATCGCTCACAGATTTCTGCAGGCGGCCTTTAATCCCACCAGGGCAAGCATAGTCCGCGACCAGTTCCTGAAAGCGCCGAGCACCGAAACATCTGGCGAGGTGCAGCACGCTCGGCGGGTTAGTACATTCATGCTTCACAGCTTGAAAGAGAACTATAGTAGCTTCACATGGACTATGGAGTAGTATCACCAAAACACGTACTCAACTAACGAAATCAAAGGTGGGTCAAATGCGTACGCAATGCCAGATTTGCGTAACCAGATTTAAAGAAGACTGCCCGCATTTGTTGGTTGAAAAATCTGCCAAATGTAAACACGAAGTGGTGCATTTATTTGATGGCAATATTTTGTTAAGTGTTACAAAAAATACAATTTTGTACATAAAATATAAAAATACAGTAGAATATTTTTAAATTTAATAAAAATGTCTTCCAAGCGCATACAAACAAAGCTTAAATGGATGCCCACAAGTCATCAAAATATTGAATATTCACGTCTTCCTCGCAACTAAACTACGCCTAAGGGTCATTTTTCACCGGACACGACATACCGTTGATAGTGCTGCTCTCTTCGAGACGTGCGGAATACAGCCTCGACATAAACCGTCAGAAACCAGTCCTTTACCAGGCGACGACCTTGCAGTGCACGACTTAACCCACCTTCTGGTTGAAAATAGACCCCGCGGGACACAGGAACGAGTCCACCGCGTTGGTATGGCACACGTGAAATGCCTGCAAAGGAACGACGGCAGATGTGACACAGCTTAGCGCACCCCGGCTCCGGCATCCAAAAACCGTAAATCCAGTACGTGGCGGATGTATCCAGTTTTTACTGGCGGCAAACACCAAGTTGCGGCGGATACCAACGCTAGTCCGAACCGGAATTGCGCCCAGAAGCCGATTAACCGTACTGTAAATATGTTTGCTGGCACCGGAACCAGTTTGGTATTGCGTGTCACGGGGTCACCTGGAGGGATTATTGTCGCTCAGATTTGTCTTGCACCAGTCTAAGGATTCGGAATATTCCATTTATCTGAATGGACCTTTGTGTCATTTGGAAGGATGCCATTCGAAGATCGGCTGTTGTGATTAGCGGGCACGTTACGCATTACGGGAGTTGTTGGGCAGCGCGATGTATACACGTAGAATGCGTGTACAAAAAACTGCATCCTTGTTCGATAACGCTTTCAGATTTATTCACATACACAAGTCGCCGTACAAAGGTTTCGTTGCGTTTGCCTGCCATTCCCCTCGAGTAATGGAACGTGATTCGAAGTGTTTCGTTGAAGTTGTGAATTTGTATGACATGCAGCGCAAGTCCGCTGTGTGCGTCAAAGTGAACATCACGGGGCAGGTAGGATCTACGCGAATATTATCAAAGGCACCATGAATCATTTTGGTCGCTGCGACTACGTCAAAACAATAAGAGGGGCCTGCGGTTTTGAAATGTGAGTAGGAACATATCAGCGACGGCCGCGATGTTGGCGAACACGAGACGCTGCAAACGAATGCGAGTGGATACAGCACTGACGGGTGCAGGGCCACATGACAGCTCATCTTCGGGTGAGCAGGCTCAGCTGACAGCCAGTCCCGAGGTGTGCAAACTCACATGACAGCCCGTCTGGAGGTGTGCAGACTCACCTGACAGCCCGTCTCCGGATCGGCGTAGTAACCCGGCCCGTACTGATCACAGGAGAACGACGTCTCTGGCACGCTGGTGTAGCTCGGGAACAGGCCTGATGGACAAGCATGTTTGGCGGAGCATCAGTGATTTGGCCACACCTTCGAGGAGCACGGCTTGACCCAGCTATTATCGTGCACAAAAACCACCCGATGTGCTATCACACGTAACGTAAATATCAGTGCTGGTTAAAGCGCTGATGTTTACCAATGAACTACAAAGATGTAAGAGATGGTTTCAGCGACCCAAATAGCTCCCTTCCATTCCCCCCCCCCCCCCGACTCTCCGTCATGGCGACCACCGGACGCAAATATTTGGATCACCGGACTCAGACTGAGCATTTACACTCATTCAGACTCACACCAAGCGCTTCTGCAAAATCAGCAGTATTCGACCAGCTGATAAACAGGTCACCATCTCGGTCCCCGCCAGCGGCGCGCATCAACAGTCACGGCTTCACCAGCGGCGTGTGACTCATCGTCCCGGCTGCTTGACCCCGGGCATGGGCTAAGCGGCTCAGAGCTGGCTCATGAATAGTGAGCCGTCCACACTCCCGACGGCCCTGTGGTAGCCTGTGGTGTTGTGCGTGTTTGAGGAGACACGGCGCGGCGCCGCCGACCAACTCCGCAGCGTGTGAACTGATGGTGCGTGGGCGCGAGGCTCTCGATGCGTATGAACTGACGGCGCGTGGGCACGGGGCTCTCGATGTGTGTGAACTGATGGCGCGTGGGCACGGGGCTCTCGATGCGTGTGAACTGATGGCGCGTGGGCACGGGGCTCTCGATGCGTGTGAACTGATGGCGCCGTGGGCACGGGGCTCTCGATGCGTGTGAACTGATGGCGCGTGGGGCACGGGGCTCTCGATGCGTGTGAACTGATGGCGCGTGGGCACGGGGCTCTCGATGCGTGTGAACTGATGGCGCGTGGGCACGGGGCTCTCGATGCGGTGTGAACTGATGGCGCGTGGGCACGGGGCTCTCGATGCGTGTGAACTGATGGCGCGTGGGCACGGGGCTCTCGATGCGTGTGAACTGACGGCGCGTGGGCACGGGCTCTCGATGTGTCGGGTATGTTGACGCCGCCAGCAGGCTTGACATACGTGTCTGAAGTGATCTTATGAAAACAGAGCCGTGACAGGAATGATTGACGCGACGGTTGGTAGATAATCGACCATGCCCCGAAGAACGGGATCAGACAGGTTCATGTGAATGAATCAGAGAATGACTAGTGAAAGGGATGAGTCAACTCCTCTCGGGGACTGGTTTCCATCTTGAAAGAGCTACATCATGTAACGCTGGATGTCTTCAGTTCTGCCATAATAAATACAACGAAGCGGACATTATGCGCAGGCATAGATAAACATATCATGCGCCCGGTTTATAGATATATCTAATTATCGCATCCCGCTTGTCACATGCTGGGAATGTCATAATCAGCTCCCTGTAGCAATCCATGCTAAACAAGGTAGTTCAGGAGCGTAATTTCACAAAGTAAGTTGAGACAAGGGGGGATAAACAGCGAAAAATTGCCAAATCTTCCCCAAAATATGCCAACAAACAGGTTGCTCATAAGATCTGACCCCCTTTCTTTCAACAGTTGGAGGGGGGCTGGCGCTCAAACTGGGAGGGTGTCTGAAGTTGCGCCAACTGAAAAGGAATTTACACCCTGGGTGTATTTACTACGTCATTTTGGAGCTATTCGAAATCCAGTACCATGGACGAATGGTGTTAATCGTTGCCAGCCGTTGTGAGCCGGACCCGGTCAGCTCGCCATCAGCTGCCACTCCGGTCGTCACTACCGAGCGATTGTAGACCGATCTTTTCTCAGCGCACAACAGCACATGCCACATCGTACTTACCCACAATGTATCATACACCCTCCCACGCTATTTCACCTCGTGTTCATCTGCGCAGCGCGCCCGGACTTGTGTGTGCTGTTATAAATGCGGCTGAGATGTCCTTATGATCATATGTCACACACAATGCCACTTTCCGGGACTAAGTGACCCAATGCCTACCAAATGTCCAACCTGAGTCCTTCAGTTAGTTCTGAGTGCCGAGTTGCATTGACTTACGCGGCCTGGACAGAACTGCACGACATGACAGCATCACCAGTGTCCTGTCCCGTGCAGCAGCGGATCACATGGACCAGCCATCTCACACGCCACCCTCCCCTCACACAGGGGCTCAATGTCCTGTCCCGTGCAGCAGCGGATCAATATAGACCGGCCATCTCACGCGCCACCCTCCCCTACACACACACTCAGTGTCCTGTCCCGTCAGCAAGAGCGGATCACATAGACCAGCCATCCCGCATGCCACCCTCCCCTCACACAGGGGCTCAGTGTCCTGACCCGTGCAGCAGCGGATCACATGGACCAGCCATCCCGCATGCCACCATCCTCTCAGACAGGGGCTCAGTGTCCTGTCCCGTGCAGCAGCGGATCACATAGACCGGTCATCTCACATGCCACCCTCCCCTCACACAGGGGCTCAGCTGTTACACGGTGCAGAGGTCACATTTGGTGAAAATCGCAGGCGCGACCGGACCGGTACCGCCACGGCGGCAGGGCGCGCACGTCCGCCCCGACTTCAGACCACCGCGGGGGGGGGGGGGAACTCGGTGATCATCGCAGGCGCGAACCGGACCGGTACCACCACGGCGGCAGGGCGCGCACGTCCGCCCCGACTTCAGACCACCGCGGGGGGAGGGAACTCCGGTGATAATCGCAGCCCGCGACCGGACCGGTACCACCACGGCGGCAGGGCCCGCACGTCCGCCCCCGACTTTGGACCAGCGCAGGGGAGGGAGCTCAGCGACCATCGCAGCCGATCGGGCCGGTACCGCCACGACGGCAGGGCGCGCACGTCCACCCTGGCTTTGAAACCGGCGCAGGGGAGGGGAGGAGGACTGTGCGGCCATCATCGACGACCGAACACTCACCTGCGCCGGCCTGACGCTTCACCTGTAAACAGAGCGCGGGGTCAGGTCAGGTCAGCAGCTGCAGATGTGCGAGCCGTCAAGCGTTCACCTGATTCTAAGTGCTGATCCAAGGCTTAGACGCATGGTAGGTAGTAGAACGTCAGGGAATCTCCTGGTTGAGGACAAGTCGCAAAAGCTGTACCCATAATTTGAGAACCCCATGTTTTCGCGTGCTCGGAACTAGATACTCGGGTAAGCTGTATTTTCAAAAACGACAATGCATGACATTAAGATTTGAGAGCCGCGTTCTTAAGCCATATCGTAGCTGGCATTGCGCATCAAACTATTGTTGCCGTGTACCGCATATGACTTCACACTTTTGCAATATGTTGACAATGACCATATCACTTAACACAGCTTTACGCAAGGTTAGAAAAGGTCAGAGGCTGACCTATGAGGAAATGACACAGAAACATACCGGGCTGCTTATCATTTGAAAAGTTTCTCTGTACTGAACACGATGAAGTATTTCCTTGGCGCATTCCGGCTATGTTTTGTTATCTTGTTATTTATGGTAGGTGCTGCAGATTGTGCGGAATACCGCAGTTTTTCCTGGCCACGAGCGGGATCTAAGCGTTCAGTAAAAGCAAGTGCAATATTCTTTATAAAGTCGAGCAGCATAATCCACCTCACCATGCCAATCAATCTTAAGATATTACCGTACTTTCCTATTTTATTCCTCGCGCTGACGTTTCTTGTTTGACATTTCCTGACAGACGGTGAATTTGAAGGACATATCTGGGTACTTATCCAAGATGTGCGCGCATTTACGGAAAGTTCGCTACCCAAATTCTGATAGAGCGGGAAAATTGCCATGCATGAAATGTAAATATATGGTGAAATCGATTTTGCTATTCTCGTCAGCACGGCGAATAGTTGTATACTAGCTGTATAAAACAGCCGATCACAGCACGGGGATAGACACCCATTGTCCAGAGGCCATATCGGAAAACAACACATGAACTTCAGATCCATGTCAGTGAATACACGAATAAACGTGCGTGACACTCGTGGCTCAACATTTTCTTACTTATCTCTAATTAGCAATAAATGGTATGCAACGAATTTACCTCTCTTGATTTTAAGGGCTTTCAGAAGAGATCAAACCCGAGAGTGATTTTCTGTCGCCAGTTCCCCGTCCGACACAAATGCCGACCGAAGCCCCACGCACTCTGCACAATGGACCAAAGGACATCCCGGCCTTTCGCTCTGTACGACGGACCAACAAACATCTCGGCCTTTTGGTAGTCGGACGATTGTGACCAGTTTCTTGCGCAAGTAAGCAAGGCTTTCTTGCGTTAAATTACAGCAAATCAAGGCTTCTGCCTTCAATTTTCCATCCGCTTTCAGCATTGGTCTTGGCGCTGCCCATAGCACACTTCGCTCGTTCAGAGTAATTTTATTTTTTTACGCTTTACCTGGTTCCGCGCGTTTCAACGTCCGCCTTTTCAGAATCAGTTCGTTCACGAAAGACATTGTGACAGCTTCCCCCTCCCTCCAAACGCCACCCGCTACGCCCTCTCAGTTGTTGTGAAATGAGACCGAAGTTGATGACGTGGTATGGGATCCGATCCTTCCTCACGCTACAGATGGGGTCAAATATCACGCGCTGCTGGCCGTTTAGACTGTGGATAGCCAGCACGTGGACAATGACCCACGTGGCGTTGCCCCAAGACCATCATGGACCGTGACATGGCAATCTCCGCGCAGATTCGGCGACATAAACCAGCAAGTTTCTTACCCCGATTGGTTGCCATGGCTACTTAGGCAGCCGATGTCAGCTGATCTGTTAATCATGGTTTGCTCACAATTAGCGGCTCAGTTTTTGCGCCCAATGATCACTCAAACTTCCATTTCCTTCTTTTTTTACCTGGATTCTAGATGGAAGTTTGTCTTCCGTGGTCAGGCTACACACGTGTCTTTTGATGTCAGATGATCGTAAGAGTTTCCGCTTGGTCATAAAATGAGCAAAGCGGGAAAAGAGGTGGTACATTTTTAAGAGGTTAACTTAACGCGGGAGAAAACGGACTTCTTTGTCAAAGGCAGTCATATCGAATCGATAGCGTTCATGAAGGTACTTAACGTGTTAAGCAGGACATGATCATTAAAACAATACCCATGCCAATAAGGTTCCATCAATACCCTCATCGTCATTCCTTCCCTTTGTTTGACCATGGGGGAAACGTATAAGGTAAGATGGGATCAATATATTTGGCAAAGTGAGCCAAACATGTCAGCACATCGGGTGCCAGATCGCTTAATACCTATGCATGCATAACACGGTTTGTAATAACCGCCTTATCAAAGTTTTGTGGTCATGCATGAGTAGGTCAACTGACATCGTATTTACCTAAGGCCAAGTAAAGCGCATTTTGATAAAGGATGGTATCAGATAGCCTCATACTTTTTGTGTTTGAGTCAAGTAAAATAAGGGTTGTGGAAAGCTAATAGGCTTCTAACTAATGAAAGGTCATGGAACCAAACTACTAACACTGCACGACAAATCAGCAGCTATTTTGGATTCGTCACTTCCGCTATCCTCTGTGCGTTTTGACCTGGAACGCCCCTGCATCAACAGGAGAAGTTTAACATCGCATGTCCTCCAGCACAGCTGCGCAGGGCCCGGGCAGGGCGGCGTTAGAGCATTTCACCCGCAAACCCCCGACCCTGGCCCTCCTCCTCAGGCCAACGACGCATAATACCGGCGCCTTTGTAGCCGACGAATGGCCTCCCCGAGCGGTGATTTACGAATGAGACCAGAGCGGAGACGGTCCGCCTCCGCGTCAAGTTGCATCACTGGTCCGCGGTAAACCACGACAGGGCTGACCTTTGCGGCGCGCGCCACTTAGTGTTGCACACTTTTGTGCCATGATACACTAACCTCACAGCTCTGGTTAAGGTCAACGGCTGTTGCTTGGAAATGGCCGCTTTTCTTTTCAGAAAACATTGCATGGGTCTTGTCTCCGGCTGTGACAATGCGAATATGGCGGTTACTAGGACGTGGTATTGGCCTCATTTTTCATGGGGACAGGATGTTAACACTCAGTTTTCACACATACGCCATGGCCAGTCCAACGTGAGTTGAGCAGAGCTTAGAAATTGGCTGCAGAGCACTTTTGGTGTTTTTAGATTACTATCCATGTTTTGTGCTTTCACCAAAATAAACCACCACCAAAAACAGCAGCGTTCTCAAAGCATTTCAGGTGTGGTTATATCCATGAGTGATGGTTGTTTTACCTGTGGCTCAAGGCTGCGGCTATTGGTGAACGCAGAGGTCTCAGGAAATAAATGCTTAACAAAAAATATATCACAACTATTCGATCAAACCGCGTTTATATTTGGAGTACTGTTGTTAGCATGCAGAAGAGTTAATTTTGTTGCGAAACATGGGTGTAAACACCGAGTAGCTAAAACCAGCAATGGAGATATGGTGTTCCAAGAACAGCGTGGCCGGGTTTCAGCAAATATTATCAGAAAAAAGCAACGCTACGATTTTAGCGTGAGCGTCGATTTCAAGAAAAGGATCTCACAAGCAGGCTTGTTGATCGAGCCGCGCATAGCCCTTACCCTTTGAGTGCAGGAGACAGCCGGGAGATGGACAGACAGTGACAAAACCGCGGCTGAAAGTACAGTAAAGCGTATCAGTCTGGTGTTACTGGTGAACAGTCGAGACCTGGACAAGACGGATCATAAAGACCCGTAAGATACTAGCGAACACAGCGAAATGTGTACTTCGAGGATTAGAGATTGTAATTGACAGCGATTGCTTGTGTGAGGCTCAGGATTGCAAAACGTACTACTTGCGTCGCACAATATGTTGCCACGTGAACATTATGATGAAATTACTGCACAACGGATGCATAATTTAAGATCGTTTTCCACGGCCTGCCACATCACACGCGTCTGTAACAGGTTGGATGCTGCCGGCATGACCATCGCGCCGACCTGTTACAACAGACCGCGTGGGCTGCTAACTGCGTCACCTTCGCCGCGCAGTGGCCGTTGTAACAGGGTCAACTCGGGTGAGAAGAGCCGCGCAGAAGTGGGGAGCACCGGCCGTGACGTCATCGTCACGGCTTCCCCTCCCCGCTCTCGCCCCGGGGTGTCGCGGAACCGCTGCGAGACGTGGGAGAGAGAAGAGAGGGAGGAGGGAGAGAGAAAGAGAGGAGAGGGAGAGAGAGATGAGAGAAAGAGAGAAAGAGAGAGAGAGAGAGATAGAGAGAGAGCGAG